CAGTGAGGGAATAGGGATGAAAAAGCAAAAGGGCGGAAGTCGGAGTGGAAATGGAGATGGAAGAAGGGACGAGATCGGGATCATTCGTCTCTCGGCGAGACGGAAGTTAGGCCGGGTATACGAGGACAAAGTTTGGTCAGGGTCCAAGTTGCTAAAAGGAGCAAAATTTCGGAAAATACGAAAGGAGTGGCGCGTGTACCACTGCCGCCGTCGACGACGACGACGACGACTACGACGATGCTGCTGGCCGAGGCCGAAGCCATTGAAGAAATTTAACAGAGTGCGCGGTGCAACCCCGAATTCGCCAACTCGCGAAACACTTTTAAACGAACTAACAGACGGGCGGACTCAAGGCTGGCCAGACCGTCCGCAGGAAGGAGAGACGGTTCAACGAGACAAAAGCGAGAGACAAGGTAAAAGGCTGTTCTGCAAGATGGACTCGCGCCGCAGTGCCGGGCGCCATTCGAGAATGCTTTTTCGACGACTGGCAGCTGCACCATCCCCGAAGATCCTCCCTTTTCCAGTCGTCTGTTTTCTCTTGCCGGCTGGGTGCGTCGCGGACCGTGTACTCGCCGAAGAAAAAGTACAACTTACACGCGTCCTTGTAGATGCACGGGTAACGATGGCGGATGAAATTCTTTCGTGTAAATATCAGATATTTGCAACGTATTCAGAAATGTATGTGACTTGTTGAAAGGAATTCAGCGGTGAACCGTGTTCTATAATTACTTTTTTAGTAATTGTACATGTAGATGCTAGTTTTAATTGTTTCTTTTCTGTGTGTTGATCGCATCTTTCTCACTGGCATGAAAGTTGGAAGAAAAATTCATTTCGTCCATTAAAAGTGAATTGTACGTAATATATAAAACGTGTAATATACACGTTTGTATCTAATATATAAACATGGACAACACGACGAGATTGAAATATTTATTAAATAGTTCACTCTCACAATCAGTAGATTATGATTCCAACGAACAGACTGTTTGAGGCACGTTAAAAATTTCACTCAATTTTTCCAAACGTATTTAAAACAAAGGCGAAACACCATCTTGGTATTATTTTCTCAAAAAAAAAAAAAAAAAAAAGAAAGCTATGAATGTAAATTGCATTTTAGCAGATCTATTCAACACTCATAATTTTCACGGATAAAGGGGTGGTACACGAGGTTTTCTATAGGAAACTCGTACGGGCTTTTACTTTTTACGATAACGGGGGACAGGAAAGTGCTTCCTTAACGAAGTACTCTATCGAATTCTCTCTCTTTACTCGCGCCTTTACACGTACTACGAGACAAAACTTCGAAATTGCAGGGTTATCCCTCGTGTACGGATACATCTTCGGAGAAATCGACTTTGGAACTGAAAGTCGAAGCGCTCGTTTCAGAGCTTAGGCAAATGTCTTCTACCCCGCTAAATAATCCGGCTGCTTCCCGGCGAAATTTCGCTGAAAATTTCTTTCACGAAGGTGAAATATTCGCGCGCGCGCGCGCGCCATTGGGTTGCCACGAAAATCCCCCGGATCGATTTCTCATTTGCCACTTGACGATGAGATACTCGAAATCTCTCGATTTATATCTGAATTTACATGAAACAATGAAATCTTCGCACTAAGAGAAGTTCATTTTTATTCAGTATTATTTGAAAATACTTTGTAATAACTATCAACTATCAGCTAAATAGTTCAATCTCACAATCAGTGAAATATGGCTTCACTCAACAGACATTTCATCTCGACTCCCCAATATAAATATTCGAACTTAAATCCATGTGAGTATCATTTTCCAAAAAAAAAAAAAAAAA